CGACCTCGTTCTTCTTGGACATCTCTGCAGCTTCTGAAACACATATTCCTGCGCCCTTTCTCGCTAGAGGTGTGAAACTACATCTCCCGAAAGGCCGCGTTGTCCCCTTCCTTCCTCCCTCTCCCGGTTCCGAGCCATGGCAACGGCGTGACGTGAGGGTACTGGGAGCTGCGGGAGCAGCGGTCGCGGCTTCAGTTCTAGCCTACCCGGCCGCCGGGGCGGGAGCAGGGCGAGAGGAGCCGCAGCCCCGGGCCGCTCCTGCGCTCGGGGACCCTGAACCCGCCCGGCGGCCGCTTCCTACCGCTTTTCCTCCAGAGCGAGGAAGGAATAGCGGTTGTCAGAACTGAGACAGCAAGGGAGGGTCGCGCGCATGGCCTCGGCGGGCGCGCGGCGGCTCCCAGCCGGGACGCGCGCGGCGGCCCAGCGCTGCTGCGGCTTCGCGCTCCTCTCGGGCGCGCGCCCGGCTCCGCCCCCCGGCCCTCCGCGACCGCCGCGACCAATGAGGTGAGAGGGAGGTGCGGGCGTCTGCGCTGGTGGAAAGGGGGTCGTCCAGGGCCGCGAATTTGCACAGTGACGGGCTGCACTTCTGGGATGCGGGCCTGGCGTCGGGTGGCGCGGGAGCGGTCCACCGAGGGGTCTAATGTAGAGTTTGGGGAATGCTTTTGCAAGTTATTCACAAAGGGAAGTCCCCGGGGCGGATTCCCAACCACTGCTTGCCCCTCGCTCGCGCCCTGGCAACACCCAGCTTGGTGAGGCTCCTGAGACTGTTACTTTCTGAGAGTCCTAGCTTTTAGCAGAAGCATAGCCCACACTTAAAGGCAACCGCGCTTCGCACGCACCCCACTTTTTCCCATCTCCTCCCTCGGCACTGTCCTCAACCGCCCTCGACCTTTCGCACTCGTGACTGCCTGGCCAGGGAGCCTGGCGGGCTGCAGCAGGTGCTGGGGGAAAGGCTTGTCTGGACGACCTTCCTCTGGGATGCACCCCACTTCCCCTTCACCTGGGAGTGCTTGAGGAACACAAAGAATCATGACGTCGTCTCCCCTTTCGTTTTATGCTTAGATTTCTGATGTCCAGCAGCCTCTTCTTGCCCCGGGCTGCCCAGGTCTTGGTGGCTGAGGCTGGCTTACCTCCCAGGCGTTCCTTCATGGGCTTTGCTGCCCCCTTCACCAACAAGCGAAAAGCTTACTCGGAGCGTAGGATCATGGGGTGAGCATCCTACCCTGTCCAGCATCCCTCCACATTCCCTTCCCTTCCAAACAGATGACCAAATCCAGGCTAGAATGTAAGGGTAGCAATAGTGGGCAAAGATCCATCCCTGGCCATCCCTCTCCCCAGCTATTATTACTGATCATTTATCCTTCCCTCCCAACCTTCCAACTTTCATTCCGTCTTCTTGGTTGCTGGGCATGTCCATTAAGTGAAATGTGACTAGAACTGGGCAATGTAAGACAACAGGGTATTATTTCTCTGCTGACCTTTTATTATTTTTTTTAACTTAAAGTTTTTTATTTTGAGAGCAAGGGCACATGCAAATGGAGTAGGGGTAGAGAGAGAACCCCAAGCAGAGGGAGTCTCTACACGGGGCTGGATCTCACCACCATGAGATCATGACTTGAGTCAAAATCAGAGAGCCCAATGCTCAACGAGTGAGCCACTTTCTCTGCTGAGCTTTTAAATGTATCCTGAACAAAACATAATAGCTACCACTTACTGAGCACTTGCTACTGCTAGTAGCTAGACTAGTTAAGCTACGTAGATGTTTTATGTAGGTTTTCTCATTTGATCCTCTCAACAAACCTATGAATCAGTTATTATTATTACCTCTGATTCACAGATTGGGAAAATGGATGCACAGGTAATTTACCTAGGACTACATTGATAGTTACAGAGCTAGGATCTGAGTTTTTGTGTGATCACCAGTAAAATGGACAGCCTGTGTTCCCCCTAGATAGTCCCCCCTTTTTTTCTTTAATTTTTAAAATTTGAGGGGCACCTGGGTGGCTCAGTCGGTTAAGCCTCCGACTTCAGCTCAGGTCATGATTTCGCAGTCTTTGAATTTGAGCCCCGCATGGGACTCTGTGCTGTCAGCTCAGAGCCTGGAGCCTGCTTCGTATTCTGTGCCTCTGCCTCTCTCTGCCCCTTCCCTGCTCGCACTCTGTCTGTCTCTCTCACTCAAAAATAAATAGATGTTAATTTTTAAAATTTATTTGAGAAAGGGAGAGAGAGAGCTAGAGCGCACAAGCTAGGGAGGAGCAGAGGGGAGAAACAGAATCCCAAGCAGGCTCTGCACTGATGTGGGGCTCGAACCCACAAACTGTGAGATCATGACCTGAGCCGAGATCAATAGTTGTATGCTTAACTGACTACGCCACCCAGGTGCCCCTAGATAGTCACCCTTAAGATAAAAAAAGATAGTAAATGCAATAGCATTCTGTGAACTACAAAATATAAGGTAATGTTAACATCATGGAAATTTCCGTGTTTGCTTTTGGGAAGTCATTCATCCAAGTTTTGGGATCTCTAGTTCCTGATGGTGAATAGTTAGTGAGCAAAGGTACTGTGGGGAGGGCACCTAGGGCAGGGAGGAACCTGACCCAGCTGGCAGTTCCTTGGCCTCTCTCTGTGATTCCTTCCCCTAGGTACTCAATGCAGGAGATGTACGAAGTGGTGTCCAATGTCCAGGAGTATCGTGAGTTTGTGCCCTGGTGTAAGAAGTCTTTGGTGTTATCTAGCCGCAAAGGTCATCTGAAGGCCCAGTTAGAAGTCGGCTTTCCACCTATTGTGGAACGTTATACCTCTGCTGTTTCCATGGTCAAACCTCACATGGTCAAGGTGAGGCACTGGGAGGGATTAATCAGCAAACTTTTTGTGTTCTCTAGCATTTATACATTTAAGGGCTATTTTGGCCCTCTTTGTAGTGATTTTATCTCCGTGTGTCACATACTTCCATAATAAAACATCAGAAGGAAAGGAAACTATCTTTCGTTTCTTTCTTATAGGCTCCTATACCTAGTATAGGTTTTATTCCATTTTAATATTAACTACCTGACTGCCCTCTTTTAGGCTGTTTGCACTGATGGCAAGCTCTTCAACCACTTAGAGACCATTTGGCGATTCAGTCCGGGTATTCCTGCCTACCCCCGAACTTGCACTGTGGACTTTTCGGTGAGTCAGGAGGCTGTGTAGCATAGGGCTACAACTGGGTTGTGGGGGCAGCGTGGAGGTACAATGACAGTTATTAAGTATGGCTAGCACTTAGCATTTCCCAAGTCAATGACACTTTCCACAGGTCTGAGCTTACCTCAAACTTATACTGTGTGCTCAGTCCTAAGTAAGGGCTTTTGAAGGGATCTAAGGAACTAGAGGGGGAGGGGAAGAAAAGGCACTGAATAGTGTCCTTGCATTTTGCCAAGGACTATCCAACATGATCTTGAACAGTTTCTGACTGTTTCTTACCCATTCCCAGATTTCCTTTGAATTTCGTTCTCTGCTGCACTCCCAGCTGGCCACCATGTTTTTTGATGAGGTTGTCAAACAGAATGTCGCGGCCTTCGAGCGTCGGGCAGCCACCAAGTTTGGTCCAGAAACAGCCATCCCCCGTGAACTGATGTTCCATGAGGTGCACCAGACTTGAGGCAAAGGATTGTTCCTTGGCCTCTTCTCTACTCTCCTTCCCAACCCAATTCTCTTATTTATTTCATTTGGCTCCTGCTCCAATCTAAGAGAAGAGTCTGTGTTCATAATGATGTTCCCCTTCTCAATTCCCCAGAAATTGGGCTCTACGCTGGCTATAAATGCTGGGGCAGAAAGGCAGGGAGATACAGAAAGGAGACATGCCTAGAAGATGGTCAGGCTCATCTTGAGAGCCCCATATGCCTAATGTCTGCACCCTTCTCACGGTGCATTATAATCAGTACTGTGTGGTTTTCGGACCTTGTCAACGTACCTTAGTGTCTGACCAGAGTAACCTGGTAGCACGTTTTCTACCAGGATTGAATAAACAGCTTTTTCCTCTGACAGAGGTACTAGGTGGTTAATAACTGTTCCCCGCCTGAGATGTCCCAGGAAAAGACTGAGATCTGGCCCCAGCTTGAAATCCATATGACTTCACTTTTAAGAATATTTCCATTTCCACTGCCTGGTTAGTGGAGAGCAACGGGCTGTCTTAACATCAGTGCCACAGGGCCAAGGAGAAAAAAAAGCACTGAAGAGAATTGTATTCTTGGGTTGTACTTTATTCTACTTGGCCTGAGTTTTTATAAAATTTCAATAAATTAATTGTGACAGTGTGAATTTGGCTTATTTATATCGTTTCTTACGGGAACAGTGTGGATATAGCAGAGTAGAAGAAAGTCATGGCTTCCTTCCTCAGGGGAGTAAAGGTGCAAGAAGGCCTCTTGGACATAGTGTCCCTGCTAACTATAGTAGCACATTCTACAAGCCAGGACCTAGTACCCACTCCCTTGCCCTATTTATAGACTTTTTCAGAAGGTCAGTTGCAGGAGCCTCAGGACAGAATAATCTGGTCTCAGATCTACCATACAGCTGATGTCCTCAGGACCACTTCTTCTTTTAAAGACCTCCTTAAGGTCCCTGCAAAGAACAGGCATTCCACACAATACCAGAGCCCTCTAGTGGCTCAGGTCCAGAGCTAGCATTCCTCCTCTATTTGCCCTTGGTATAGTATGTTCCTTTCACCCAGTGGGCTGGACTAGTTTTCTTGGATTAGTCACATGGGTGGTTTTGAGGTCTCAGCTGCAGTCCTTGAGTGTTCTATCTTACATTAAAATTGGGAAGAACTTATAACCTTGAGGAAAGACAGAAATCTCCTTTGGAAATTTCACAGGTATCCAGTCTTATTAGGGTACATGTTAAACCCACCTAAAGATAAAGGGATGCACAGGATAACTTAGAACCCACTTAGTCCGGGATCTTGCTAGCCAGTTCCCTTATTTTATAACAGATTCTTCCAAGTCTTCTTTAATAGCAGGCTCAAGCATTGTTAATAAAAACATTTATTTTGCATTTTATACAGAACAACCTGAAGTTTGGATCATAACTTGACAGTTACCCGGGGGTTTACAAACAATGTGTCCATCTCAGCGTGGTTCTGGGGATTAGGGTTCCACATAAACACAGGCAGGAGTTGCGAGGGAGGAAGGGGGCACAGTAGGAGTGTATTTCAATCCTTTCTTAAAGAAAAGGCAGTAGAGCATTCTGAGTCACTGAAAACCTGTGCAAATGGGGCTTCTAAAAAACAAATACTGTACTGTGAGCTCTTGGGGAAGGGGCCAGATAAGGACCTTGATAAATAAAGGGATATTTTCTTATAGCAGGGGAAGAGGGAGGCCTATTATTTTTGTTCTCAGCCCAGGACCTGATATTCAAAGGAAACATCCAATCTTAAATCATTTCCCTGCTAAGAAGTACCCATATCCCTGGAACCAGACTATGAAGATAGCATGCTGGTCATTCCCAAGTCCTTATTCAAGCATATTAAAATAAAGGGGGGAAAAAAGATCAGAAGGTAGTGGCTTCTGTTCCACAGAACTAAAAAGCTTAGTACATGTTAAGCACTGATAAAGCCAAATGACTGGGAAGGACCACAGCTTTGACAGGGACATATACAACCTGCTGGAAGAGGTCTCTAGTAAGGACCAAAAAGGCTGGGGGGGGGGGGTAGGGAGGTCCATAGCACCCTAAGCTTGAGGTGCAGCAAGTACAGAAAATCTGGAAGGAGGGGAATATTAAAGCAGTGGGGAACAGGATACTCCCAGATCTTAATTTTCATGGGATAATTTTAAAAGAGAAAAATCAAACATTGGGTGCCAATTACAACAAATGCCATGGCCTTTATGGTCACCTGGTAGCATAAAAAAAATGCCAAAGTGTCTGCCTAACCCAACAGGTCTTTCTAGGAAGTGTCTGTGTGCATGGGAGAGAGCAATGGGGCTTCAGAGAGCTGATAATCCAACATGATTCTTATGGAAACAGAAGGGGCAGAGTCCTGATTTCCTGGTCTATGGAAGGCTGGGTTGACTGCAGATTCTCTGCAACCAGCTTTGACCCAGGGAAAGAAGAGTCAGATTCTCACTCTAGAGATGGTAGGGGGGCTCAAACCTAACCCATACCCCATGCATTAGTCCTGGTCACCCTACAGTTGGATGGGCAACTCACCAGGTAGGAGAAAGGAACTGGTTAGGGAAGAAGGGGTTACTTTTTATCTTTTAAAGTCTTAATTTCTATTTTAACTTCAAACTTATTATCAGTGCCTCAGATACAATTTAATCTTAAATCTTAAAAAGCCCCCTGAAACAAAACAAAATTAGACTTTTTTTTTAAAGCTCCCTCACTTTCTAGTAGTTTCCTCCAGTCTCCAGTTTTACCCTGACTTAGAGTCCACAAACTTCATCAGACCATCCGTGCTCATGGACTTGGGCCTCTCTAGTGGGAAGCCCAGGGCTCGGCTCCAGATGAGCTGTGCCAGTACCCCCAGTGCTCGTGACACCCCAAACAGGACTGTGTAGTAATTCATCTCTGTCATGCCGTAGTACTGTAAGATAAAAGAGAAAAAAGTTTTGTTAAAGACCCTGAGGGGGGCGCCTGGGTGGCTTAGTCGGTTAAGCGTCCGACTTTCGCTTAGGTCATGATCTCGCGGTTCGTGGGTTCGAGCCCCGCGTCGGGCTCTGTGCTGACTGCCTGCTCAGAGCCTGGAGCCTGTTTCAGTCTGTGACTCCCTCTCACTCTGACCCTCCCCTGCTCACGCTGTCTCTCTCTCTCCTAGAAATAAAAATATTTAAAAAAAAAAAAACAACACACAACAACCAACCAACAAATAAAAAAACACTTGCTTCTTAAAAAAAAAAAAAAGACCCTGAGGTAATAGCATGCACAAGTCCAGGGTGATAGAGACCTTAACAGAGTTGGCCTTAAATAGAAATGACACTAGGAGGAGTGCCCAGGTAGCTCAGTCATTTAAATGTCTGACTCTTGATTTCAGCTCAGGTCATGATCTCACAGTTCTAAGTTCAAGCCCCACATCAGGCTCTCTGCTCTTAGCGCAGAGCCTGCTTCGGATCCTGTCTCCCTCTTTCTCTGCCTCTCCCTGGCTTGCTTGCTTGCTTTCTCTAAAATAAATAAACATCAAAAAAAAAAAAAAACTTTAAAAAAGAAAGAAATGACACAGGCAAAATACACTAATTGGGATTCTGAAAAGAGAGTACCCCTTTCCTACTGCCTGCATGTACCCTCCGCCACAGGCAACTTTATCAAAAGGATAAAGAAGGTGGTATCAGTCCTTGCTCTGGCTAGGAAGTTGATTTTCTACATGGCAGAGAACATTAGGGTTTGGCACAAATTAAAGGGAGAGCAGGGAAGGAAAGACTCACCTGAAGCAGCACCCCACTGTGAGCATCTACATTTGGCCAAGGATTCTTGGCCTTGCCCTGCTCTAACAGGACATTGGGCACAATCTTGTACAGCTGAGCAACAAGCTTAAACATGGAGTCATGAGGCAAGTGTTTAAGGGCAAACTCTCGCTGACAGGTATATCGTGGATCCGTCTTCCTTAGTACTGCATGGCCATAGCCTGGGACAACCTGTAAAGAAGGAGGTGAAAAAACCAGTTGTATTCTCAAGTAGAAATTCTTGTCTTTTCTAAATTCTTCAGGATAGACAATTGGTGATTGGGGGAGGGAGGAGAGAATTTCTTTCTCTAATATAGGGACCTCTCTCATTCTTCATTCTGTTTTCTTTAATTTTTCTAAATCACACAACTTGGGTCTTGGCTTCTTTCCTAGTTGCTAAGCATCTCTGCTTACCCGTCCTGAGTTGAGCGTGTTCCATATGTAGTCTCGTAACTTCTCATCTGACACATCTTTGCCAACTTCTTTCTGTAGTTGTGTCAGCCAAACAAGTACTTCCTATGGGTAAGGTTTCGGGAATAAGACAGTGTCAACACATATGCCAGGAGAGAACAGCAAGATCAGAAGAAAAGCATGGGAGTAAGAAAAACATGAAGCAGGAAAAGAAAAGTTAATAGTCCTACCTGATTTGCCAAACCATGTAGGGGCCCTGCTAGCCCGTTCATGGCTGCTGCAAAGGACAGGTAGGGGTCTGAAAGGGCACTGCCCACCAAGTGGCTGGTATGGGCACTTACATTGCCTCCCTCATGGTCACTGTGGGGAAGTAAGAAAGGAGAATCAGAAGAGAAGAAAAATGGGCAGACTATGGAAACACAAATTTCGCTGTTCTCTTATCACATGCTAGCCTAGTTATGGGCTCACACTAGTTCTGGCCAGTCAGTTATACATAAGCTTTTGTAAGAGATGTTCCAATCTCATTACCAGCTTTTGTTCACTAATCCACAGGGCTGGAGAGGTTACTGGTTGATGATGCCTGTGTGCCAAGCTCCTGGACTCTCATTCCAGCTTTAATAACAATAGCCAGAAGAGGGAGCTCCTGGAAAGCTGAAAGATCACCTACTATGAGCAATTAGTACTTTTCTCCAGCTTCTTAGAAACCTTACTTTGTTCTTAGAATGGTTGTGATTATTTCCCTCCATCTCTGGACTTCATTTACTAGATTCCTTTCTTGCCTTGCGTGCCATGTTTCCATCTCCTTGTTGCCTACTGCCTGTTCCCAGAAAAGAATGTTCAGGAGCTTTCCTTAAAATTTTCTACCAATCCAGGCAAGGGGCTATGGTTGCTGGGTCTAGCTTACCTGTGGATGGTGAGGTACAAACGCATGAGCTCAGTGAACTGAGCATCAGTATAGCCTAACATGTTGGTGAAATTGTGGGACCAGTCTAGCTTAGAGTCAATGGCCCCAATACTGCTGCCCTCCCGGTAGAGATTCCGGTAGATTTTTGCTGCAACACAAGGTAGCTTTGCGATAAGATCCATACAATCTTCATAAATCAACTGATGTGAGAAGAGGAAAATGGAGAAAAAAAAAAAGAAAAAGATTTATCAACAAAGAATTAGGCAAGGATTCTGTCTGTCCTCCATGGATTAGGCTATTTGGTTGATGTTCAGTGGTTATATATGGAGGCTAACAACAATAACCATTTAACTAAATAACTTTTATGATCCAGGCTCTGCATTAAGTGATTTACACATAATATCTTGGGTATATTAAGACATTATTTTGGGGTGCGTGGGTGGCATAATCAGTTAAGCATCCGACTCTTGATTTCAGTTCAGGTCATGGTCCTAGGCTTATGGGATTGAGCCCCTAATCAGGCTTGTGCTAGGTACAGAGCCTGCTTGAGATTCTCTCTCTCTCTGCCCCTCTCCCCTACTCACACACTCTCTATTTTTCTTTTTTGTTAATATTTTTTTTAATATTTTATTTATTTCTGAGAGAGAGATAGACAGCGTGAGCAAGACAGGGTCAGAGAGAGAAGGAGATACAGAATTAGAAGCAGGCTCTAGGCTCTGAGCTAGCTGTCAGCACAGAGCCTGATGCGGGGCTCGAACCCATGAACCGTGTGATCATGACCTGAGCCAAAGTCGGATGCTTAATTGACTGAGCCACCCAGGCACCCCTCACACACTCTCTAAAACAAAACAAAACAAAACATTATTTCTAATTTTTTTTAGAAAATTAGAAAAAATTTCTGCTACTCTACCAAGTACATAATGACCTCCATTTTAAAGGTGAGTAAACAGGGGCGCCTGGGTGGCTTAGTCGGTTGAGCGTCCGACTTTCGCTTAGGTCATGATCTCGCGGTTCGTGGGTTCGAGCCCCGCGTCGGGCTCTGTGCTGACTGCCAGCTCAGAGCCTGGAGCCTGTTTCAGAGTCTGTGACTCCCTCTCTCTCTGA